ATGTTCAGTATGGTGATGATAGATAAGATCCAAAGATCTTTACAGTAAATAATTTTAATTAATCTCCTCACAGAGAATAAATAATCATTTTTAATTTTTTCTTCGACAATTATAATGATTTATTTTTAAAAAGTGGATTGTCAATTGGTTGGAGAAATGCAAGCTTATCACTCGATTTTTATCAAACTCAAGAATAATCGCTCACACATCTGTTATCCTCCATCAATTGGGGTATCGTGATAATAGAAATTGAATTCGTATAATTAATCGAGTGAGCAGACTAGATTAAATCGGACTAAATAGAGATTTTCACTATTTACACTATTATCGATTGATTAGCGATTCTGTCACAGCAACATATAGAAGCCACGTTATACATCTATATTCCTTTCGTTTCCTCTGGAGGCGTGATTTCATTTTCATAATGTTTACATAGCAGGAGAAATCTTTCCAAACATACTATATTTCAATCCTTCGGTCATTATTATTTTATTGAAAATATTCCTCGGAATGTTACAACTTGAAAATAGTACACCATTAATTGTTGTAGAACCAAAAAGGAGGAGATTTCATCCTCTGCGCGGCCTGCGAAGAATCTTTCGCCGGAAAAGCCGAGGAGCAGCTGATGCGCGAATTAATTCGCGAAATGGAGAACGAGATGGTGATGTAGGCACTCGTGATAGGGAGGAAGTAACTCTGAGACATCCAGCTGGAGTAGCTGAGGAGGGTCGTAGTCGTAGTGCCAGTGAATTACTCACAGACTCCTGTGAACGTCAGAGGTAAACTCGGGCAAAATCATTACCATTCACTTCTATTTAATGAGTCCCTTTTTCTCCATTCTGGGTTAAAAATTTCTCTCAAATCCACTAATCACGTTTCTCCACACTTTCTTTCACATTTTTTTTTGTCGTTATTATTTCAGCCGGAGACAAATTGCGTGGCCGAAAAAATACAGAATTTCCTTGAGGAAGTCGTTCAATCAGTAAATATCTATTAGATTATACGGCTTTCTATACGTTTTGTTGTTTTCCATTCACAGAAATTTAATTTTTCATACTATTATGCTCTAGGTGATGAGTGTCTTTAGTCTATCATGTAATTAATTTGTTAAAATGTTTATTCATTAAGCCGCCTGAAAATGTGAGAGTAATTATCCGAGCTTGACATTGTCCTGTATTTTTTTCTCGAGAAATTCCATTAAAACTTAATGGCTTGTGTATCTCAAGCGAGAGAAAACAAATGAGATATTCGTAATGTCAATGTACGGTTGTTTTTCATTATTCGATAATATAGATAAAAGTAATGCTTTCCCACTTGTCTGTTTCTCTACTTGTTCATCCGAAAATAATCTCTGATCAATCAATCACTTTTGATGAAAAATTATAATTTTTTTCGACATCGCTGCTACGTTTGTGCTACGCTCGTGCCGAAAAGTGCCTTTACCCGTAAAAAAAAAAAAAAAAATCAAGGGAAAAACTTCTCAGTTACTAGTAAACTAAAAGAGCACAGTTCGGCACTTGCTGAACGTTAAATCACTGTCAAAAACTACTGTTCGACACATGTCAACTGGAAATTTTCAACTCCTGTCATTGGCATTTTCACATTCGTTAAAATTTCGTCTCACTCGTATCAAAATATACTATTTTTTGTATAAAATAAAAATTAAAGTATTGTAATGTTGTAATGTTGGAATATGTGGAGTTGTTCAATTGATATGCGATGAAATAATAGTAAAATACTTGTTTGCAGTGTTTTCGTTAGACGCAGTGGTGGTATAGGAGAGCCATTCGCAAAGCTGCGCATCGGCTCAGGTCAACTCTCAGTCTCCCACGACAGTGTATTCCCCGGTGAGGTGCCCCATACTCGGCCGTTGTCATCTCTGGATACCCTGGCAACACTAGAAGTACATCTCTCTTTATTTTATCAGACCCCCAATGAATTACTGCCTCGAGAAAGAAGAAAAAGAACGTCTCCTCAAATTGTTGCTACACATTTTCTTCCCTCAGTCGGGTCTATGTAAATTATAAAGGCAGAGATATTAAATTTTACTCAGGCACTCGGATGATGCAGCAAGTTTTCGTGCTAAATTATTAAGAGGATAAACGAGAATTCTTTGGATCGAGTCCGCGTCACTGCTGCCTCAGTCTTCAGTTCTCTAGTTTCGGTTTTGGCAATAAGGTCATCCACAGAAATAAATTTAAACGCGTTTGCAGACGTCGTACGAGATGTTTTCAACCCCCTCCCTTGTTTCTAAAGTACGTTACTGCCTTGGTCACTGAGAAAACTGTTAACTCTACCACTGCATCAAATGAAACTAGCTTATTTTTAATTTTCATGTGAATTCTATGTAGTCCACTATCGGCTATATAGCATTTTTATAAAGAATAGTCGACATTGATCTAACTCTATCTTATTTTAAGGCGTTCCGGCCTGATAGGCCGTAAGAAAGTGCACAATTGAATTTTTTCATTATTAAGCCATCCACCTTGCACGCTGTTCCCAATTCGACCTATGGTTTTGTATTCGTTGCATTCAGTTGATCTATTCTTTTGACAGAGGCGACAAACCAAAGTCAGTGCCGAGGCTGTACCCAGAGATTATGGGTTTCATGAGTCTTACAATCATCGATTATCGTTGAGGGTATATACTTTATATACTTTTCCCTATGTCCTATGATTTTATATAAAAAGTATCTCGTTGAATTTTTAATTAATTAGTTGGTGAAAAAAAAATTTGAAATGTCTTTCAACTGATAAATGTTTTGAATGATGTTATAGTTAGGTTTGTTGGAAATCGAGAAAATAATATAAAAATCAAGGGAAATTTAGTGGAAAAAGAGCAATGAAATAACGACAATGTATGTGCAGGTGCTGGAGCAAATAAAAACGGCCATAGAGGGCCGAAACCAGCTGGTCTCGTCGACTTCACCGGAGTTCACTCACGCCTCGAACGTGAGTAACAACTAACATATCTTCATTTCAACCTCACCCGAAACTTCATACACCTCTTCTTTGTCATTCGAAGCAGACTTTAGTGTTCAGCAGCTCTTCGCACTTGTCGGATACATAAATTCCAAATGAACCCGTTCATCGCTATTTATTTCCCTTTCTTTCCCTCCCGATGTTGTTTTTACGACGCGAGTTGACAAGCACACATATTCCTCGCATATGTATTCAACACAGTCACTCTTTTATCTGCCTTCTTGTTGCATTTGCCACACGACATTATCCGGAAAAATCATTTCCTCGTCATTGTTCTATACATTGGAACTTGAGTGTGTCACCAACAATAGGGTTTATAGTACATATTACGGACTATAGGTCTGTGTGTTTTTGCGTTGCAGGCAACCAGCGACCGCTATCACCAGGAAACCAATGAGGTGAGATAATACATCGAGAACGTACGTTTCATATATATATATATATATATATATATATTTTTTTTTTTGGCTTTGTACTTTTTACGTGAGGCTTCCTCAGTTATGCGCTTGATCCGTTCACACCCTGAAGCCTCTTAGTTCTGCTTCTACTCTACTCTAGATATTACCGAACAAATTCCAGATTCTGACAACTGAGTATTTTATGGGCCGTTCACTCATAGAAATTCTTTAAACTCGAATGAGAACTATACTATTCAATAGCTATTCGATTATATGAATTTTAAGCAATTAAAACAGCTGTTATTCGGAAGAAAAAATAATAAAAATGGGGGTGAACTTTTTTTATCTATTGAATCATTAATAATTGATTTGTGGGGAAAAGAAAGAAATTAATGGAGTTCTTACGGAATTGCAGAATCGTTTTACACAATCCGATAAGGGAGAGAGAATTGAAGAGGAGCAGCCAAAATTCAGGGTAAGTTTCTCCATAGATTTTATCAATATCAGCGATTTCTGAATGAAAGAACAATTCAACGCGGAGGCGTATCAACCGGTTTTGAAAAATTCGTGACTCACACTCATTGATTCTTTTTTCATATCGTCAAAACAGCATAATCCGTTTTGTCGTCCACTCCTTTTGTTATTTTTAATGCAATAAACAATCGAGTCGCCATTAATTTGCCGGGGTGTCAAGTTTGCCCTGTCAACACTAACAACTTGTCCCTTAAACGGAGCAGGAGTAGACCATCTCCTACCCACTATCTTCTTCTTCTTCCTCTTCTTGCTCTTGCTGTTGCTCTTGTTCTTGTTCTCGTTTTCCTTTTCCTGGATAACACTCGAAGCATCAACGGAGAGGAATACTTCTTTGTACTTCCCATCACTCTATTATTTCCGGATGCTTTCGACGGCGTAATGATAATGTTCCGTTACCGCGATTGTCGTCCCCAACTGAAGATACATTTTAATCTGTCTTTAATGAACAACGAAAGCGATTTTCGTCCTCTCCTCCTTTCGACATTTCATTTCCTCCAGAAATTTGACAAATAAAAAGAAAAATATATATACTCAATGAACAAAAAACAAAGAGCATTTATCAGAGCAATAGCTTTATTCTTTTCGGAAAGAAATAGGCCTCCGATCAAATTAGCTCCGATTATACACAGACACATCGTACGCAGAATTTCAACTGGTGGGTGACTGCTGGGATCAAAGATTTCGAGGGAGATAAATCAAAAGTACAAGATCCCAATGATTGAGATTGAGTTTATTTCGTTACTTATAGCAACGAGTCGATGTTAAAATGAAATTACAGTTACCCAGCCTGACTCACAGTACTTACCTCTTTCGATGTGTGTATAGCAATCTAGCAACACTTGTGCATTTTAAATTTGACATTTACGATTTTTAAACATTCAGCGCCCCCACAGTCGTTCTCATTTGCTTTTGATACCGATAAGGTAGATTCCTCATTTTAATTATATTAATTTACTATATGAGCTGGAACAGCCCTGTAGGCATTCCATTTTGTTCATTACCTAGAGGTAAGTTACCGACAATCGATGAAAATATTTGCGTGATCGTTGCACGATATCTCTGAGAAAACTATTTCTAGATTTTAATAGAAAGTTTTTATTTACATTTAACCAAGTTTGCTGTAAATGCTTATTCGTCAATTATATCAATTGAATAAACTTTGCCCCGAGAAAGCAGTACTTTTTGAGCCATTACACTTTACCTTAGTCGTTTAAGCGTAAAAATCACAGTTACACTTGGAAATTCAATCTCTGCCTGACAATACTAATAATTTTTTCCATTTGATCGAATGAATGACTTTCGAGATTTGAAGATTTTAACGGTTGCGTCAAGCAAAGTCACTCCGCGAAATTCAAATGAAACAATGTAGTGGCATTTGAATATTCGCTGACATTTGAAACAAATACCAGAGAATTTCGCGGGGTCAACCACCTGGCACGTGGCATTACACTTCCAAGAGACAAAACTATTGAATAAAAATAAAAAAGTTATTGTCCATGGTTGCAATTACAACGGTTTCACGACAGCCCCATTTTCTCACGGCTTTTAACTACATTTTTCACGACTCCACCTCAAAGCGTGATTTAGAAAATGAAAAAAATAATAATGATAAGAATAATAAAAATAGACAAAAATAGGTAGATGTGTTATTAGTGCGGCACGTGGTAAATGCTTTGACGAGGTATACAGTTGATCATCGGTGAAATGCTAGTTGAATAAAAATAAACGGATGGAAAACAGCTGGCAAGCAGGAGATAGTAGGATAGTAGTAAGATGTGCCGTTAACGTATTGGCGATTTCACTCCTACTGGTACCATTACAAATAATCTAGCCCTCTCTATCACCCCCCTTTTCTTCTTTTTCCCCACTACATGAACCACTATTCCCTCCTCTCTCTCCGCCATCCCTCTTATTTCCCAGGCTTTGTGCACTCGTGTTTGCAGTGTCAAATGTGTATGTACCGAGTTGTGCCGCGAGCACTCCTCTCAGTACTAGTTATATTATTTTATCATTCAGTACCAATATTATCAATATTAATCAGTATTAATCATCATTAATCTTCATAAATCCGCATTAATTCGTTATAAATCATAATTTCCTATTAGTTTTCTCTGATTTTTGCGAGTCTTGGGGTGTTAATAAGAGTACAGTGATTTTAATGTACGTTTCCCGTGAATTGTTCAGGTTGAAAGTGTCAGGATGAAACAATCGCAAAGGTCTGTGAATGAGAGCGCAACGATCAGCTCTGGTATGCTATAGAAATTAGCATGCCTTCCTCCCTCGATAATCTATTTTTTTTTTTTCTGTTTCAACCATTTTTTAGGGTATTTCTTGTCTTATCGGATCGCTGAGCAAGTGCAAATATCTGTGAAAATATCCTCTGCGTGTGGGAAAAGACTTGAGTCAAAAGATTTGAGTCTTTTTGTTTGCCCGCTTATCGGATTAATCTGCGATTAGATAAATAATCAAGGAGAGTTTTTCTAATTACTTGCGGATGGATTTCCTTATTGCGCTACGGCGGGGAAGATTTCGCGACGTAGCCGATGATTGTACTTGTGTGTTTTGGTGGAAAAATAGGGGTGATTGACACTGTTTCACACGTCCTTTTAGGGATTTGAATATGATTTGAGTTGAGTTTTGAGGGGAACCATCGTCTCACGACGATTCTCAGATTTAGATGGAGTAATAGGAGAATAAGGAATGAATTGCTCAGGTGGACATTCCTTGAAATTCCAAGTAAAGGTGTTTACATGACTAACACTGGCTATTCTAAAGTCTATTCGAATTGTACAAATTAATTGTAACTGGAAAAATAGCAAATTTTGCTTTATTGAGATTTCTCGTTTATTTGACTATTCTGTTAAACGTGTGACAATAACGCGGAAGTGTTGAATGGCATTGTCCAGTCCTTTGTGGGTTAAAAGAATAGGCAATTTCTTTGAGTTTAACGGTTTGAATCCACAAACGAAAGTTTAGAAAGTCAAATGTGCATATTCCTCATTAAATTTTCCTCGAAAAGTATCTCGAAAAATTTCGATGAAATATTATAAAAAATTTGTTTCTCTATCTCATTACTATTTGATTAATCATTGTAGTTTTTAAAAATAATATTCAATGGAAGTTGATTAATGAAAAAAATGGGAAAATTCATGGACAAATGCCAGGCAGGATTTAATTACGAATGAAGCATCTCTTTAAATAATTTTAATGAAAATTTTATGGCAGTGTAAAGATTTAATTGAAATGTTAAAAAAAAAAAAGTCTGAATAAGTTGCTGTGATAAAAACATAGTGATGTAAATGACAATGACATGAAGGATAAATATGGTAAAGCGGATAATATCATTGGCTTGGTATAAAAATAAAATAAAATAAAATAAATAAGGCTCCCTTGGTCTTTACTTTCACAGGTGATAGTGTCGGATGCAGTTAATTCACCCGTGCAGTCTATGGACTAGTGCGGTTGGTCAAGTCGACGCAACGACTTGGTAACACGCCACAGGCTCTGTATCAGATTCTATAATTTTATCCATTTTAATCGAACTTACTTATAGAAGACCAACTTCTATAATATCGGTTTATGGGTGACGTTTGGACGCTTGGTAATGAAAAATCATGGAGAGTTAATTGTTTGATCGATACTGGCATTGGCAACGGTTATGATCGAATCTTGCGTGACTACCCCGCCATGGCACTTTCTACTTGGCACAAAATATATTTTCGTGCAGAAATATCCTTCGACGATTCATTCGTTTTAATGATAGGAAGGGGTTTTCTCAATTGGAGAGCTTGAACAATTTCTTCTTCCACTGCGGTACATGAAATCTACCGTTCAAATAGCTAGAATATTATTTGTAATTTTCACCGGGTAAGTTTGTAGATTTTGTATGAGATTTCTACACGTGTAGTTTTCTTAGGGGCCAATGGAAAATATTCAAACATAAATGCAAATAAAAAGATTAAAATTGAAGATAGTATAGAAGTATAAAGATTGTTATTTGAGAATATCAATTAGTGGAGCGATTAATTGCTGGGCAATTTCGCCCCAGTGACTGTTGTGCCCAATCCCTAGTATCCAGTTTCTCTAATGCCCAAGGTAAAACTGTGCGTTCAAATGTCACATGTCACGGTCTCTCGACACCGGCAAACAATTAATAAAAATTAATCGTTAACTTTCATTTTTTAACCCCTCAACTTGGTGTTTTTAATTTTCAAACCCAATCGATAAAAATAGCGGAAAGTGGTTTACACAAATGAGGGAAGATTAATTGAGACACGTTCACGGTTACGGATTGCTCCACGCTCGGTGAACACGAACCGTTCTATCGATGCGTATTATCAAACAATGTTTGATGCATTAAAGTCGTGAATAGCGGGGCAAAAATAATATCGATTTTTTAAATAATTATCGTAGAATTTCAATGAATAGCAGTGCAAAGCAGTGCAAAGCAGTGCAATGGTGGTCGCCCGCCCACAAGTCAATAAAAATAATCTTGGCGCGAATAAAAATACAAGATTACTGTTCACTTTCATCAACATACTCGCCTCCGTAAACACAGATATGGTGAGAATATCTATATATTTTCATTGTTTCTTTATTTTAATCTGGCCCCGTCACCTCTCCGAGATTACATCAATCGTATTCTCAAGTGGAATTGCGCCAAATCCCTGTCTCTTATCCGGAAAGTGCATTGAAAAAAAGTGGGAGGGAGGCAATAGCGAAAGGTAGACCATCGTATACGTGGGTGCACTTGTTTGCGTGGGTTGTATACTTCTGGCCCCAAACCATAATCTCCCTCAAGACTTCAACATGAAAATTCACAAGACTCTTTTTTTTCTTTTAATTTCACGAACCAATCTCCAGTTCTAATTGATTGGAATTAATCGGTGAAAATAAATGATGATTAATGATGGATATTAATGCGTATTAGTGAATTAAAAAATCATTTCTATCAAGTTGGAGAAATTTTTTCAAACATTTTTCTACAAAATATACTCAAAATATTTTTCCAAAGTAACATAAAGGATTCTTGGATATTATTAAATGGTGTGGTCAAATAAAGAAGCACTCTACCTATTGTATAAATAATCCATTGAAATTCGATAAAATCGATAACAAGGCAATGAAAAGACCAGAACTGTCACATTTTTCATCAAATTTAGTTAAATTCACTTATCTAAGTAAAGTTTAATTGTTGTTCAATTGGTGATGAATTAGTCATAGTTGGCCAAAGCTCAACACCTCCACTATCCTCTCAAAAACAAAAAAAAAAAAAAACAAAAAGTGAAATGGTGAATAAGGGTTGAGGTGGCGATTTGTGGAAGTTCCAAGAAGATCCGAGCCAACAAGGACTTGAGGCAAAATTTCAGAAATAATCTTATCTTACCGTTTAATTGCCCGAGGATTATCCACCGTATCTAATGTGTTATACAAAACGAGTGAAAGCCTCCCGAGATTTTCCAGCAGAGGGAAATTAGTTTACATAGTGCAGACAGGTAGCGAGCAAGTGAATGAATGAGTGATAGCTCCGAAGATCTGGTATTATCATTTTTCTGAAGGAATGAAGATGGTGGTGTCCCATAGAGAAACGAGTATATCCTCGAATATCCGAGCGATAATAGAACAGTTGAACTTAAATCCAGTGGAACGAAGGCGTTTGATCGATCGAACATGCGACAACGAGGCAATTAGAGCTGTCAGCTCACCAGCTAAAATAACAATTGGAGTGTATGGTTGTCGAGAAAAAAATATCGACTTCTACAACGGAAGAGGCGAGGATACCTCGGGAATAACATTTACCAGGGATAAATCTGAGAAAAAACTTGAAGAGAGATGTGAGGGGAAATGCAAATTCGATGCCACCTACAAAACTAAAATGGAAATCTTCAATGCCCAGAGCAAGGAGAAGATGAAAAATTTCGATTCATACCATCCGGAGAGGGCTCAGGAGATGGTGACGAGCCCCAGTGGAAAAGTAACCATTGGGGTGTGGGATGCAGACAAGGAAGTCGCTGTCAAACGGGTTGGATCGTTTGTAAAAGTCATTAGAGAACAGGAGGTGGATGGTGGCAAGAGATGTGTCGTGGTATCTAGGTCGAGGAAGGCTGAGGTGAGGCAGAGAATACCACCAGAGGATAAAGATTTTATTGAGGTAACCAAGTCAGTTGGGTCATTTTTGTGAATAATAAAAATTATTTAAGCAACGAAGAGTTCTTACAATTGCCATTTATTACAGATTAAAAATTTTTTATAATGAATTATTGATGAATATTTTTTTTTTATCAAAATGATTAATCACAATTAATATTTATCATCTCATATTCTACGGCGTCAAAAATTTTCCTTGCCAACGTAGGTTTTCGGTGTAATCATTGGGCCATGCAACCAGTTTTCTTACTTTTCATTGCGGTTAAGTAGTACCCGTGTGAAAATCCAAAGTCCTGTCATTCTCACCTATCACCTATCAAACCCAAAGCCAACCAAAGTGTCCTAAGGACATAACAAGTTACCGTTAATGCGATATTTCAAAACCATCGTTGAAGTTTCAAATGTCGCTGAACGACTTTCAGAAAGACTGCTCCCTATACAAGAATAAATGAAATTTAACAAATAAAATATCGTCGTAAATAAATATCGTCGGACAGTTACAGCGGCTTTCAGTAGTGCGAAATTGAGGAAAAGGTGGAGAAAAGGTAAATGAAAATAGCGGGGGCAGTCGAGCACATCTCGATGACGTAACTCAAACGAGTGGAGAAAATAACGATAGATTATCATCTCCAGAAGCGCTCGTTTGCTGTTCCTCTGTTGGTTTGACTTTTACCTACGAAAATTTTATTATTTTTATTTTAAATGTGCAGGTTACGAGAACTCAGGATATCGTGGAGAGGATTACAGCGACGCCAAAGGAGGACTTACGTAAGTTTTTATTCGTTTCGATCTGGCGAATTTACCTGGCGATTGTTTTCAATGAAACCAATTATTATATATATATATTAAATTCAGTAACATTTAGATATTTATACGAGGTAATTGATGAACCAATTATGATGTTTGAAGCGAAATTGGAAAGTGCAAGTCTTAGTCATACAGCTGCGCACCACCGCATGGCGATTCGTCCAAAAAACCGTAGACCCCCTCGACGAGCAACCCCGAGCAGCAACGCATCAACAATAATCGTTATCTCAGAGAGTTCCTCCACCCTAGACAGCCTAGAACCATTAATGAGCTCACCACGTAGCTCACCAGTCAATGAAAAAGTGGCCTCGATCCAGCGAAAATCATCGAGCCGGCTCTCTCGAACCTCGGATATATTCAATGAGTTGCAAAGGAAACCAGCCAGCGTGGCCTCCTCCCTCTCTCCAGACAGCCTTGATTCACATCCATCAGGTAGAATCATCTTGGACAATTCTGAGTTGGAGACGATAGCAGTGGTACGAAGAGCCACCAACCGAGTACCACCACTTGGAGGTTCCGAAGTGTTGGAAGAGTTGGAGTCCCGTCTGCCACGAACAATGTTCAGTAACGGACGACTTGCGTCAAAGTCACCGGACAGCCTGGACAACTCCTTCTCCAAATCCTCGGAGTGTTTCGACAAACTCATGGAGCATGAGGACGTGAAACCACCAGCTGGCCAAATGAAACTCCAAACATCCATATCCAAATCAATTGAGGGCTTCCAAATGATCTCAGAGGACCCGGGCCCGGAAGTGCGCCCGATGCCCAGGAGATTATCCACTGCCATCTCCAAGTCCACTGAAGGTTTCGAAAAAATTGTGATGGAGGGAGATGAGCCCAGACCAAACACTCGAAGATTTCTCCTACCAATTTCAAAATCCTCGGACGTTGTTTCCAAGTCCTCGGACAGTCTTCACGTGCTCGAAGCACTAATCAGTGACGATTCAATTGAGAGGAGGCGCAGTAGCCTTGAAATGAGACCCAGTAGAGCCAACAACACTAAACTTATCTCTATGTCCTCCGAGAACTTCGACGTCCTCGAGCATGAAAATAAGAAGAATAGTGCTTCTGATGTCAGTCTTTCTAGACAAACAGGAAAGAGACACTGCAAGATTATTTCCAAGTCGAGCGAGAGTTTCCAGACCATAGAGAAGAGTTTAGAAGGGAATAGGATTAGGGTGGACTTTGGAAAACCTGTGTGGAGGTCTGGCAAGAGACTCTCTTGTGAGAGCTCGCAGATATTCGAGGAGAGGAATGAGAGAAATACATCCAAGAGACTCTCCAGCACTACGGTTATTGATATTGTGCCTAGGGAGGATATGTCGAAGCCACGGGTGCAAAAATCGTCAGAGAGCTTGGACCTCGGAAGCACTGATACTCTAGATTCTGAGAGGAGAAACAAGTCGGGTAGTACTGAGACCCTCGATAGCCTGGAAAAGGAGGGAGAGCAGGAGAGGCACCACAACGATATTGATGACGATAAACGGAAAATGCAGGTGGGTTGCGGCAGTATCACAACATCACACACCATTCACAATCTGGAGGTATTTTTCCTTGTTATTACTAGCTCGTGGAGTTGTTCGTTTGATTGTCAACTATTATATATATTTTTCCAACTCAATTCAACCGAATAATTCGATAATAATCTCTAAATCTATAGTACGGCCGAGATATGTGCGAAACAAAGGAAATCGATGCATTAACAATTTTTCCTGAGAATGTCGACATTTTTATACCATACCATAAAATAATGAGCTAATTACCCACAGGATCCATGGAGAAAGTCAGAATTAGTGCCAGCCAAGGTAACAGCTCCCTCTTCAGAGGATGCTAAAATTATGGAGAAAACGTATTGGCGTCAATCGTCAGACTCAAAGGAGAACATTGACATCCACCAGCTGCTTGCTCTGACGATCGTCAGTCGAATTTCAGACAACGGCAACAATCAGCGCAACTCGATCCCCTTTCCCAAGAAGAAACTCGCTTCGCCGCCCACCTCCCCCATCAAACAAGAGGATAAGCTGCTCTTTAACAATCTACTAACCACAAAAAATGACGAGGACCTCCAGAATATGTTGAACGGGAACATATCCGAAGTCTCAACGGACACTAAGAGCTTCAAGGAAAAACTCATCATGTTTGAAAAGCTAGGAAAATAAAAGTAAAGTAATCGCTAGCCTGTCAATTACAAATTACCCAATTGCAGGACCTCAAAGCAATTCAAACTGTACATTAACTCAATCGATATCTTTGATACATTTTCAATGTAATATCCAATTAGTTTACGTGCTGAGCACGCGCCTCTAAATTATATTGAAAAACATTAGAAAAGTGAAGAGATAACTCAATTCCATAACGAAGTGGCAGAGTTTTATTTTTTCACTTCACCACTTCGATGTTGAATCGATATTTTTTTTAATTTTAATATTTAACTTATATATGCCTTTATCACTTCTCTATTGAATTATAATAATCGTACTGTTCACTTATCATAACCATTTTGTTTTTGTACAAATATAAACGTAGTCTGTGTTCGATAAAACGATAAATAAATGATTTAAGTGCCTCTAATAACACAGTATATATTCTCATAGTTGCCTGAATAAAGTAACATCCATATTACCGAATAAACATAGTTGAAATCTTTTTCAAACTGTACTTTGAATATTGTGACGTACGAAGTTTGTGTTTCAATTACTTATCGTTACTATTAATTGTCCTACTTCCATGTGTAAATAGACATTAGCCTGGTCAATATGGAATTATATAAATTGCTGGATTATTTTCAGAGGTATTATAAAAATTCAAGAGATTATTAGAGAGTACAGAGAATACTTATTACCTGTCTATATGAGCCAAAGAGTAGAGGCTCAAAGGTTTATGAATCGTGTTGTTTTGTTTTAAATTTTCCGCTAAAATTATTGTATATATCACAAAGGGAATATTGAAAATTAAAATAGCTTTCGTCACAGGTAAATTTAAAGATTTTTTTTTTTTTTTCATTAAATATTCCGTAGCAATTGTGGGATGTGGTATGAAATGTACATCCTAAATGCCTGAAATAAATTTCTCAAATGAATTCCTGATGAAAATAGAATGTGATTTGTTACGGTTCAATTATTTTCAGAAAAATGTATACGCGCTAGTAACAAGAAAAAATATTTACATACATTATAGTAAATGTTTAGGTGACGAAAGTAACAAATAAAGCCACCAGAATTAAAAAAACTTTTCAAGATTCTCAATTCAATCTTTATTTCAGGGCCTTCCAGACGCTGAGCACCACTCTGAAACACTGAGACATTTAAAAAAATACAAAATACCAAATTACAGTATTATGCAGCAATTCTTCGCTCATTCCCTAAACTCAACGGGGTTTAACGAAAAATTATAATATTTTTTTTTCTCACGAGAACCAAAAATAATGCAATATCACTGGACCTTAATTATTATTAAACTCACTCATTCATTCGTTTATTCTCTTCTGGATATTATTATTCCCTAGAATTTGCTCCTCTAAATATACAAAAGAGGAATGTAACAGAGTGGATCCGGTAATCGCATTAATGACATATAACAACAATTGTCGAATGATTTAAGTTTTACGATCGATTTTTCAGTGGGAAAAATACTTTGTTCTATAGGTGGACATCACTATGAATAATGCTCCAAAGGTGATCGACTGAATTTTCAATTTTTCCCATTGAATCAGAAGGATATTGAGCTGTGATTGAGGATTTAACTCACTAGGCACTCTGGGCAAAAGATTTTCTCAAATTTTACTATTCCACCGTAAGGGTCGCAATTGAAAAATTCAGTGGATCATTTAAAAAATTATGACATGGCAAAATATGCTTTGTATTCTCCTGTAAAAATGTTCAAAAAATTTGAAAACAATTTTTTTTTTCTTCCGGCTTATTACAGCCGTTCACAAAAATATATAGTATGAATTATTGACAAATACTCGATTTTATTATACCGTCTTCTATGCTAGAAATGATGAAATATCATAAATTATTCAAGTATGAGTTGATTGAATTCAATACGAAAAGTTGCTAAATTCAGTGAAAATTTTTCAAGAATACAAGATACTATGACATGCGACAAAAACCCTGGATATTAAATACTACAATTGTGAGCTAATTTGTGAAAATTATAAGATAACTTAGAGTTCGTCATGCCTGTTATTGGCTTCTGCATTTGGATCACAGAGGGCCGGAGTGGTGAATATCATGGCGTATTCACATCGATTGGGTTCAGAAACTGATATAAGTTTGTTCTCTTTGCCACATCGGAGTTGAACAGTGGCAGTGCGAGCTGGTCCATTCCAACATGTGTGTCCCTTCTCGAACTTCATTTCGGTGTACTTTTTAGGTCCGATACCAGTCCATTGAGACCAGTGTCCCAGGTAGACCTCACTGCCCCCAGATTTAGCGCTCTGGGTGGCTCGCCCGTAGATACACATAGAGTATACATACTCGAGGTCTGTGTGCTTATAGCACTGTCCATCCAGAGAAGCAAATACTTCGTCGGGACCGTAATCACGCTCCACTTTTCCCTCCAGCTCTCTAATTTCGTTCTGAATGTCCATAATGTTCTTCTCAGCCTGTTGGTACTGGTTTCTCGCCTCGTTAGCCTCCTCCACCAAAGCCTGGGTCTCGTCATCATACTTCACTTCTGGCTCCTGCTCTTTCTCTATCTCCACTTCCTCGGGATTCTCCTCCTCGTGCTCTTCATGTTCCTCGTGTTCCTCATGCTCGTCATGCTCCTCATGCTCCCGATGCTCTTCGTGATCTTCGTGATCTTCGTGATCCTCGTGATCCTCGTGATCCTCGCCTCCCCGATGCTGAATTTCTGCATGCTCACCACCTAGAAATTCACTTGCGGGCGGGAGAATATCTGCAAAGTGTAAAAATACGTGCCAAGGAGTAATTTAAATGGTCTTGTCTTAAAAAAAAGATATTATTATTAGGAGAAATTAACTCACTCTCTTCCTTCAAGAGGAATGGCTTGATGTTTGGCCAGGCCTTTTCCCGAAATTCGTCCAAGTTGAGCTCATCTCTCTTGGCGAGGAAGTACATAGCCTCCTCCTGAGTAACGAGGCCATTGTCATCCTTATCAAAGATCACCCTAGCCTGGATCTCAGCAAGCGTGACTGTGCCACTGTCATCGGAGTCGAGGATTTTGAAGTACTCCCCGGCCTCAAGCTCTCTTGGCTGTTGGCTGGATTTAGGCACCGTCTCACCAGCCTCGACTGGTTTGTAATTTTCCAAAGCGAGTCTTTCTCTCTCTTCTACCTGGTTCTTCACCATTTCCTTCTCCTTCTTTATCATTTCAGCCTCCAGGTAATCAGCCTTGAGCTTGGCGAGGTTGGAGGTCCTCTCGCCTCTGAGCCTCTTCCCCTCGACGCACATCTCGAGACGAATTTGGTTACCCTCCCTGGCGAGTTCGGCTGCTTGCTCTGCTTCAGCTCTAGCCTCTCGGCCCAGCTCGTGGCAATTGTTGAAACATTTGGCACTTGAGGCATACTCATCACTGGCATCACAACAATCACAAATTCCATCGTTGACACGACTCGAGGGAATAAACAGGCCCTCGAAGCCCGCATTCTCACAGTAAAAATGACCGTTGGGACACGCCGCTGTGCCAGGTTCATCACTCCCATCACCGCAGTCGCAATAATCATCGTTAATCCGATTAAAAGGCACCCTTCGACTGCCATCGAGGCATTCAAAGTCACGCTCGGGATCATAGAGTGATGTCTTTGATATGGGCACACCACGGACTCTCGGTACTTGTGTACCGGCTACGTGGCTCAATTCCAATGATAACAATACCGCTGATAGCCATATTAGTATAAAATAATTTAACATTTTTACACCTACAATTTCCAAGTCAGTGATTGATTTACACGGGGACTTTTTCGTGAGTTTTTATTCAAATGATGAGAACTGTTTTAAAAATGCTTTTTTTTTTCACAGTGAATTTGAGGTTCTAGAGGTATAGGTGATTATGAATACGCACTACACTAGTGTCTACAATGGATAACAATCGACCAATCGTCAACGACTACACATTCACACATTACACGTCACTTTGGCATTGATATCTTTGGTGGTGGAAATCACCACAGACAGCGTGCGCTGCAAAGAGGATTGACTAAAGTAGAGGCTCAGTTCGGGGGGTTTGAGTGACCCCAGCGGCATCGTAGTACTGCACCCCAAGAGAGGGAGGGCGCCAGAAATTGATAGTACGAAATTGATATTCACGGAAATTTTGAAATTTTATGGAGTCACTTAAATTTTTTGCCCCCATGTGATCCTTAATCAAGTCCAATTTTCAATGCAGTATTATTTTGAACATTTGAGGATTTTTCAAAGGTCAGGAGTTATAAGCGGCTACAAAATCAATTTTGAATGATTACAAAAAGCACTTTAATATGCATGAAAGATTTATTTTACATTTCTGACATTTGTAATCGTTGAACTTTGCTACTTCCATTATTAATGTACCCACTCAACAGCACCAATACGATTAATAGCTCTCCAAGTGAAGGAAGAGTACGCTAGTGCGAAGAAAACGACTATGGTTTTTGTTGCAACCATCGTACAAATACAATTCAATTTTTCTTCAATAACAACAATAAATTACTCATACTCGGAACGGATCATGACATCTTCTGATCCATTTTTAATTGATGCCGGTCACTTTTAGCGGCCATTTTTTTCGTCCCATCAGAGGGATTCGTCCTTTTAATCTGGGGTACGTCCCCAGGACCTTGTGAATGCGAATATGATGGATCATGGTTGATTTTCCGTGGTATTTCCCCCAAGGCACAACGTATCAGCTCCAATAGGTGTAGGGGTCCCTCATAACATTGTTTTGTACCTGACATCGAATTTAAAAGAAAAAAAAAAAACCATTTTTATATTGAGCTGTTCAATATTTCATGCAAAAACTCACCTAAAAGATTAATTCTACCCGAATATTGCTCTCTTGATCTTTCCCAGAAGACCTTCATCAGTCTCCCCCTCCCCTTGTACCTCTTGTTTCGCTTGAGCACTACTCGATCGTCCTAAAAAGAAAAATTTTGCTAATAATTCATGTATCAAATTTAATAATGGACTCGGAAACAATCAATTTTCAATAGTTTATTCCAAAAGTCATGTCGTTATGTCATGTGTTAATTATACAAAAATTAATTCTCAAGCGATCAAGAGGTACACTAATTTTCTCCCATCATACATTTAATAAAGTTTCTCATGAATTTCATTGAAAAACTTAGTGCTCAAAAATACTCGGAATTCTCTCGCTTTTTATTTTTCTTACCATCAGTTTTATTGGTTACTCCGTGAACAGATCCTGGTGTATCTCGCTCGAGTTCAGCATAAGCGAGCAGCAAGGCCTTCTGTTTCTCGGATAATGTAGTGGGCACCAAGACCTTAATAGACACGTAGTGGTCCCCGTAGCCCATTCCATTGACTTTCTTCATTCCTTTGCCACTCAGTCGCACTTTCGTATGAGACGACGTTCCTGACTTTATCTGAATTGTATGGTCCTCATAGACACCTTGGATTCTAATTGCGCCACCCAATGCTGCTTGTGATAGCGATATCTCAGCATCGGTATGTACATCAGCTCCGTCTCGCCTGAAATAGCGTGATTTCTCCACTCGGAATGTTACAAACACCTCTTTGTTGCCCACGGCCATACGAATCGTTTGCCCATCCTCAACACCAGCTGGTACCGGAACTATCACTTTTTTTCTTTGGACCTGCAAGTGATTTAAAAAAAAAATTTGTTTATTAAAAATAGTATTACATCATATCGATAGATAAATGAAGGTAACAACTTTGTCTCAACTTTTTTTTTCCTACTCTGTTCAATTCTCCACAAAATAATTTTTCCTTTTAGACCTTAACCCTGAATTACAGATAATATTCCAATATAAAAGATAAATTTCATACATTTTGCCCTTTGCCGTCGCATTCTTGACATGGATGCTTGATATACATCCTCGTGCCATGACAAGCCCTACAGGTTGATCTCATGACGAATGGTCCAGTGCTAATAGTCTCCATTCCAGTGCCATGGCAAATGTGACATCTCAGCGCCTTGGTACCCGGCTCACACCTCGAACCCCCACATTTTGGACAAGTGTCGACAACGTTGAGAGTAATTTCCTTGTTAACACCCCTTGCAGCTTGAGAAAACGTCAGATTCATGATCACCTCTTGAGCAGTACCAAATCCATATCTAGAATCAGCAAAATCCTCCTGATCGCTAAAGTGTGCCTTGAATCCCTCCTCTCCAAAAATCTTCCTAAACAATTCCTCTGGATTGACACTAGCCCGGAAATCCCAGTTGTGTTTGTAAGCTTCTTCTGCACCACCTGGGAATCCTCCACTATTTGCCCCCATCCCCATCTGCTCGGAGGTCGTCCCCCACGTATCATACTCCTTTCTCTTGGCCTCGTCACTGAGAATCTCGTAAGCCTCGGATACCTCTTGAAATTTCTTACTTGCATTTGGATCATTCTTATTAGTATCTGGATGATACTTTTTAGCTAATTGATAGTAGGCTTTCTTTATGTCCTTGGCTGCACTGTTCTTCGAGACCCCCAGAATCTCATAGTAATCTTTACGAGCAGCTGACCATCGCGATGATATGTGGAAATGTCTTGTCAGTAATTTTCCTGAAACTGAAATTCAAATTGTCAGATTTTCAATTCAAACGCAATTAACAGACAAAAATCTATAATTAATCAATATATATGTATATGTATAAAATTAATAAGATTTCATTGAAATTTCAATAAAGTTTCATTTTCATTAAACAATTTATGTTTAAATGATATAATTGAAGGAATTGCTCCACCTCACATACAATACAGAGTCTTATTTTTTTTTAAATTTGGTATAAAATAACAATGAACAATGAAAGTATTCATTTTTTTTCCAAGACCATTTCATGGAATTAAGAAAAAAAAAATGATGTAGTGATATATTTGTATAAATGAAAATGATCTAGATAATTCGAAAGAGGTTGGAAATCTTCAAAAACATGAGGAGAGCATTGGGCATAATGACATTAGCCAAAATCGTACCCATTACAACATTCATTATTCTTTGGACGCATTTATCAACTGAATCACTACGGTTCATTATTTACAGGGGGATAAACTAAACGTGATGTAATCTTGAATAAAATCGTGGTAGTGTGGTGTATCATATACAGTACATTACATTTTTCACTTGCACTACGGATCCAGGTATCGACACCCGGTGTAACGGTAGCAAACTGTCGTTGGCAATCATTACATTGTAATAAAACTTGATTTTGAAACTTTCCAGTTTTCCTAGCACTGATAGTACAAATTCCCCGGGTTCGAAGAATTGCAGCGATACCCTTGCCGCTCGCCATGTTGAAACGAAAGACCCATGCACGCGGTTTCTTGAGGGATGACTTTTGACCGAAATTACACTGTTGTCGCTCAAAATTTTTCGTAAAAACTAGCTTTATATTCTCATCGTTTTGTCTGGTTTTGTAAAAAAAAAAAAAAAAAAAAGTATGGACTGAAAAGTGTCATTGGCGGTGAACCAAAGGATGCGTTCTCAAGTGAACGTTCATGACGGCAGGGTAGACGTCGATTTTTGACGATTTAGTCGATTTTTAGCGCTATACTAGGGAATTTAAAAAAATGAGTATGAGGGGCTCGTGCTGTCTTAGTACGTCCCTAAATGTCAACGTGACGTCACAGTGACACTTTCAATATGGACGGTCGGCAAAGGCAACACGATTTTCTATCCTAAGTAAAGAGATAATCACAAAACTCCACCAACTATCGTTCCCCTTTTCAATTTCATTTGTCGCCCAATTATGTCTGATTACTTTAAATCAGCATTTGGTTACTTGAATGGCAACGGCACGACTAACGAATATGTCGGACAATTGGTGGAGATCAACAATGTGAAACTGCGAGTTAACAGATTGATTGCCGAGGGTAAGTGTAACTGATAAATCCACCCACTTTTATCACTAATCGATTTTTCAGCAATTTAATATTAATACGACAATTCATGCTATTGAACCAAGCATTCCAATTTCATTTCAACACATAACAACGCAATATTTCGAAACATTCATTGACGATTACTCGCAGACAATTACTCTAATTATATTTCATTCTTTTTAATTCTTTATTTTAATAACTCTTCCTCGCTGCCATTGCATTCGTTGTCTTTCAAATATTATTTAATTCACTTAATTCATAAAATAATCTATGAAAATGCTCAATAACTCTCTGAATTGGACGGTTATTCAACTGTCAGAAGTCTTCATACTGGAAGGTTTTTCAATATGGAAAACCTTAATGATAAAAATGAAAATTGCTATCCGTAATATTCATACCTTATCGTCAAGATTAATAAAGTGAAATTTTTTTTTTTAATTTTTTAATGATTGCACTTATTGCCCTTTTTCAATTTCAGTGAAAGTCTACTTCCACAGGTTCATAACGTGTAACTGGATAAGTCTATCTCACTTTACCACTTTCCTAGTGAATTATGTGTTCCAGGTGGCTGGGCGCTAGTATTTGCCGTTGAGGACATTGCCACAGGCAAGGAATACGCTCTGAAGGTGAATAAAATAAGCCCCAAATATCATAGTACACTATTTCTATCATAATACACAACTTCTCTAGAAACTGATAGCGGTGGACGATGAGGCAAACAAAACAGTAATCCAAGAAGTAGATACACTGAAGAGACTCTCAGGACACTCTAACATAATCCAGTACATGTGTGCTCAGTGTGTAGAACGAGATGACAAAAAATCCTGGGAATATCTTCTGGTGACCGAGCTCTGTCCAGGTGGCAACCTTGCTGACCTCTTGAGAACCCGCACGACGCCCCCTTCCCTCCCTCAGATCTGCAAAATAGCTTACCAGGCAACGAGAGCAGTGCACCACATGCACAGTCAGCAACCACAGCCAATAGTCCATTGGGATATAAAGCTCGAGAATTTTCTCCTCTCTGATGATGGTACAATCAAACTCTGCGACTTTGGCAGTGCCTCAACTCAGCAGATCCTTCCAGATCCCTCCTGGAGTGCGCAAAAGCGTTCGGCTTTGGAGGACCAGATGTCGAGATACACAACCCCCATGTATAGATCTCCAGAAATGATGGACACGTGGAACAATGAACCAATAGGGCCTCCAGCGGATTGCTGGGCACTGGGTTGTATTCTCTACTCATTGGTTACGCTGAAACACCCTTTTTCCGAGGGTAATAAATTAGCCATCGTCAATGCCAAGTACTCCCCACTCCCACCAAATCCTCCGTTATCCTGTCTTCACGATCTAATCAGGGGATGCCTCGAGGTCTCTCCCATCAAAAGAATAACGACTTCGGTGCTGCTAGAACGACTAGCATCTATTTCTGAATCCAATAATTTCGATCCTAGGGAGCCAGCCAAGATCGAACCATCTCCCCCGAGGCCTCAGCCCCCTAAATCTGCAAATATTCCCCAAAATCCTACACCACCACCACCTAAGCCCGCCCCACCTAAGCTCTTCCCACCAGCTACCCAGCCAGCAATTCCAACGCGACCTGCACCCCATTATCCAGCCAAAGCTCCACAGTCTCAAACTGGCTCTGGTCTATTCAGTTCCCTTCGTGGAGGGGCCGGCAGCATTTTGAAAAATCTCAAGGACACTTCAAGCAAAGTAATGCACACGGTACAACAGAGCATGGCTAGAAACGAACTGGACGCCAGTTACCTGACATCTCGTATTTTGGTAATGCCATATCCAGCTGATGGAATTGAATCGGCTTACAGAACTAATCACGTAGAGGACGTGAGGGCTTATATTCAAAGCAGGCACCCTGCTCCCGCCAAAATCCAACTGTACAATCTGTCACGAGGGCGACCCAATGTCACCAGACTCCCGGGAAAACACATTGACTGCAATTTCGCCTATGCCACACCTGACGCCAATGCTCCACTCCTCTCAGCTCTCTACCAGATTTGCCAGGACATCTACAGATACCTTGACGCTGACTTCAATCACATTGTTGTCTTGTACTGCACAGATGGTTGTCGAGCCAGTGCTACTGTCGCTTGTGCTCTCTTACTCTATTGTGGAGTTCTCGCGACCCCTGCGGAAGCTGTAAATCTCTTTACTACGAGACGATGTCAACCACCAATTCTCCAGCCGTCAGAACTCAAGACCATCAACTACATGAGTGCACTGCACTCTGGAGTGCATCCCCACACTCGACCACTAGCACTGAGATCTATACTCCTTCAGCCGATTCCATTATTCACAAGGGCAAGGGATGGCTGTAGGCCCTATGTTGAAATTTACAGTAATGGTGCACTCGTGTACTCGACCAAACGATCCGAGTATGAGGAGATGAAGCTATTCGATATGATGGAGGGGAAGGCCTGCCTGATCCTCGGGGACGCCACTGTTCGAGGGGATGTTACAATAATCGTCTTTCACGCCAGACAACAGTTGGGAAGAGTAATTGGTATTAAAATAGCTGGACTTTATTTTCATACTGGATACGTTCCTGTTAATGCGTCCACCTTGGATTTTGAGAGAAAAGACTTGGATGATGCACCGGAATTTGGGGGACAATTCAGGATTATTTTAAATGTTATGATTTGTGAGGAGAACTCTAAGGCATCAAGAATACCTGCTCCCTGGGAGGTAGCGGCCTCCAGGGAGCAGAAACTCAATCCTGATCCTTTATTTAGTTCAACACTTGAAATGGAGGAGACTCTGGAGAACTTTAGGACAACTGGACAGCCAAAGAAAGTTCCGAGCAGACCTCCACCACCATCTTCTCCAGCTCGACATGCAATTGTAACTTCCATTTCAACGCCAGCGGAAGAGCGAGTTGCTCCGGAAGGTGAACCCCTATATGTTGAGGATGAGGAGAAAGGGAAGGAGGAGAAGGGGGAGGAGGAGAAGGTGGATGAGAGAGAAATTGAAGATAAAGGAGGTGATAATTTTGAAGAGGCTGATCTACTGAATTTGGGCATGTCCTCTGAATTCAACATAAATGCCATTGGATCGAACCCTCCCCCAGGTTTGGATATATTCTCGGGTAGTCAGCATGATGGAGATATCTTGGGAGGATTTTCATCATTTCCTCCGACAGAGGCCGACCACATTCTCAAGAAGAATAATTTATTACTTGGTAATGAAAGCACCAATGATCTCTTATTTGGACAGGATAAAATACAAAAATCTTCTCCCGATGATTTTTTGTTCGATCCATTGGGTACAGGGACTAATGATCTCATGGGCAGCTGGGGCGGAACAAAGGGATCAATTCTGAAAACTCCTAGTGAAGATATGCCGCGTAATTCCAGTGTTCCCAATTTTTCTGCTCAGAATAAAGATCCATTTGCTACTCTAGCTGGTTCCCTTGGTGCTGGACTGAATTCAAGTTGGAATGGCACACCACATGACTCAAATACTCCGCAATCGTCTAGTCCAGCTGCTGTTGGCACGCCTATACATTCTAGTCCACGTATGCACATCAAGTCAAATTCCAGTAATGAGGGGAGTGAATCTGTTTCTAGTAATAGGCCTGCCAAGAGTGGAGACGCTTTTGAGGATTTGCTGGGAAGTCAGGGGTACAATTTCTTCAGTTCGAGGAAGGCTGATAAAGACAGCCCCAAGACTATCAATCAAATGCGTAAGGTCGAACAAGCCAAGACCATGGACCCAGAGAGGCTCAAGGTTAATGAGTGGACTGAGGGAAAGAAGGGTAATCTCAGGGCACTTTTGTGCTCACTGCATACTGTACTTTGGCCTGAGGCCGATCGGTGGCAAAGGTATGAAATGCATCAGCTCGTATCGCCTGCTGATGTGAAGAAGGCGTATAGGAAGGCTTGTCTCGCTGTACATCCAGATAAGGTGACTACTAATAGTTATTTTTCTTTTCATTGGTGAATTATCATTCAAGGTCATTATTAGTTTTCAATTTTCAAATAAGAAAAAAGGGTATAATCAGTGAAAAAAAAAAAAAACCAACTCAGTATAGCCAATAATTTATCAAAAAATATTTTCGGGTGTTGCCCGAATGATTATTCCACATTTTCTGTGTGGATGATATTTCATATTTCGATTGTCAATGCATAACTAAAAATGCGGTAAAAAAATAAAGGATTATCTGGGGAGTGACAGCACATTTTATAGGCATTTAAATGTATCATGATGCAAGTTTAAATGAAGAGAGGGTTTTGATATTTCAAAGGATAACAAGAGGGATTCGGTCAAATTCTTTCCGTATAACACTGCTCCGTGTTTGCACCAATCCATGTCCATGTACGCATGGATATAGGAAGAAGCATTAATTCAGTCGGCTAAAGACTTTTCAAGCATCAACTTTTTTATCTCGAAAAATTCACGACAAATACTAAAATCTACAACTGCATAAATAACCCATGTATAATAAACGAGAATTGCCCGTCTGGTGAAACTTGCAATAGCAGATAATTGTAAGCTTGAGTGCATCAAATCCCCTCTCAAAATAACTAAAAGAAAAATTGCAAAACGAGAATGAAGCTTTTTAATCTCACAGAATTAACTGGAGCACAACAAATTCATGTCCCATTTTCATCAGAGAAATTTCCTATGCTTTGGAATGAATAACGCCCAAAATTCCAGTCCGTGTCACGCAGGATAGTTGTTAAGAAGAAAAAAAAAACGTTGCCTCTACCTCAAAAAATTGTATTGAATTTCTATTGGAACTTTTACGAAATATTTATAAATTCGATTTAATTTTCTATGGCAAAAATCCATTTTTTCTTTTTTTTTTCGCTGTCATTGTTTTTTAAAGAAATAAGATAAAGGCAAATTTTAGAAAAAATTCTAATGTAAATTTAAATTCCAATGAATAAATTCTCATAGTGTTTCCATAGGATTTTATGTTAATCATTTTCATAGGTGGTCTGCCATCTAAGCCAACCCTTCCCTTCAACAAAGGGAATTATGAATTGAACTAATAAAATTGAATTGTTTATTGCAGCAAACCGGCACTGCCAATGAAAATATAGCCAAGCTCATCTTCATGGAACTGAATAATGCATGGAGTGCATTCGAAAGTGACGCCTCCCAGCAGAACCTTTTTAGTTAATTCTAGCAAATAGTAAATAATAATAATTAATTGAGTTTCGTTGCTGAGCCAGCGTTTCTAAAATTTGAAAGAGGACCTCCATTTCACTGGCTAATACCGTGCGTAGTCGTGTTCTGTTTAATCAAAGAGGGGAGGAAAATTTGTGAAACAGCCTCCAAGAGGAGGTAAAACTCTATCGCATTCCAAGCCGTGTTACTATTACTCGTTAGTCGTATTTAAATTCTTCTAATCAGGCGTATTCTATTTACAAAAATGTTACGCAAGCGTTTTAATAGCGCTCAATTCCCGCAGTAATATTTTCATTTTCCTGTGAAGAGAAAGGAGAATTAACACTTCGCTCCTTACCTAGGGTTTGAACATATTTTTTAAAGAGAAAAGTACATTGCATGAAAATTCAAATAATTCAATATGTATATTAATTAATTGTTCATACCTTGAATTGAATTGAAAACGAAGTTTTGCTTAATATTTTAATGGTTTATTCTCTCTCATAAAAATATTAATCATTGCCAAATTGTTTTAAAAGAAATTCTCTTAGAGTGAACAAATTTTAATTACTTTGTATTTTTATTCTAACGAATAAGAGCACAAATATGGTAAAAAAAGAGAAAAAGAGAAAAAAAAAAAATTGGATTGCATTGGATAGTTAACTCTAGTGAATTGATATTGAGTGGGTGAATCGGTCTGAGCAACGTCACTAGTTCGGTGAGCAGAACCGAACGCAGCGTTGCCACATAGACGTTCTCACTGTGTTTCAACCCCTACAACTCAACCAACTTAACGGCACAACGAGCCAACACTGGGACCGGCAATTGACTATACGCGTCCACGGGATCCGGGCAAGCTTTATTATTTGGCTATGAATTTTCCTCCTTTTTTCTTCTGTTTATCAATGACGATACCATCGTAAGAAACGAAGTGTAAAACAGCACGAAAAAAACACTCAGAGCCCTCCAATATTGACAAATTAATATGTACAACTTATCTCTGTATATAAAGCTGATGTAAATTAAAATAGTTGTCGAATATAAACATTATTTTCTGGTTGATCCACAGTTCAAAACCTGACGACTAATTATTCTGGAAAAGTTTCAAATGTCCCTTCATTTTCCTTCGCCTCACCTCTCTTCAACCACACCCCAATTCAACTCCTTTGGCATGCACTAAACCCAAACAATCGACAGCGAAAGCCCAAGTGGCGAGAAACGCCCTGAAAAGTTGAAAAATTGGTTAAAAAATGCTTTGATTTTATTGATTAAATGCTCAGGGAGTGGTGTCAAGGACACCGAGTACAAGTAGGAATCTCAATTTCACCCCTAAAAAATTCTAATCTATTAATCTAGGACTGCACTCTTTCAAATCTTGAATCCCGCGACTGAAAAATGAAGCGACAAAAAGATTCTGCCAACTAATCGAAAGATGCTAGCCCATTACTGTTCGAGGGGCCAACTGAGAAAATATAGCAATCAAGTGATTGGTAATGGTCCTGGATATGTTATTTCATAGTGTAACAAATTGGAGTATTGGAGTCCTTTGTCGACTTGGCAAGTAGCATCTATACTCTACCGTGACATCTCTTCTCTTTAGAAATACGCAAGCGTAGTCTTTGCTGTTCATGTATTGAAAGTTTAAACGTAGTCAGTGGTGGTTGGTATTGGAAGGCGGGGGTAGCTCAAGAGGAATTTTCACAAAGGGAGGGGCACCCCGAAAATGGCTGTCACGCACGGCCACAGTACGTCCGAATGAGGGCGAGTGTGGTGCTCAATCCGCTCCACCCCATTATCATCCCCTTCTCTGTTGGACTCCCTATGCTCTGGAGGGATTAATTATCGTCCATCTTCGGGCTTTAATAATCATGTTAATTCGGTGATTAAGACGTAGGCTAATTTTTTTTATCGTCTCAAACGGGTTTAATAATCGATTGTTATTATGATAGTGGAGTGTGATGTGTGCGGATACTTTGAAACATTCCAAATTCCAATCGAGATTTTAATCATAACAGAAGGTAATCATCATAATTCACCAGGACAAATCCTCTCAGGGATTTATTTATTTCCGCGGCTTTCTTGAGGCTTTTTTTACGTGTCAGTGTGTGTGTGTGTGTGGGTGTGGGTGTGTTGGAGGAGGAGAAGGGTTGATTTGAGTTATTTCGACCAGCCAGACAGGGTCAATTTGAGGTCAACCGTGTTTTTTTTTGGTTCTTTTTTTTTTAATTTCAAACGTAGCCGCACGTCATCAAAACAGCTAAGGGCGGGTCGCGGAGTGAGTTTTGAAAGAACTCCCCAATTGGAAATTGGGGACAATTGGAAATGTAAATGCGTTTTAAATGTTTTGGAAACTCGTTTATGCATGATGATAGTTTAGCGTGAAGTGATTTCAGGGGACTTGAGGGAGCTTTTAATATCGTGCATCATTGAAGTGGATCTTCAGGTATTTTTTTATTGGTGCCGTACCTTCAGAAATTTATAATTGGCAGGAAGAAAAAGATACGTTATGGCCCATTTCCCATCGAGTAGAATTGCCTATGCAAAGAGGAGGTAAAAAAAAATTTAATCGACATTGAGGTCTGAGGGAGAGCGACAGTATACAATACAATCGTAACAATCCACGTGAACCGTTTTATCACGTTAAATTAATAGATTGCAAATAGATGAAAAATTTACAGCGCCTCATGCGAAGAATCAGCTGTAGATTCTCCCCAATATTTTCACCTTGTAATGCATTTCATCGTTTCTTAACATTGCAGATTGAAGAGGGATGTTGTGATAATCTGGTAGAGGTTTGAAACCGGCATTTAAGATAAACGGTCGAACGAAGGGTGTGCTAGTAAGATGCGTGGTGATCGACTGTGGTTATTTCTTCTGTTAATATCAATAAATGCAAACGAATCGGTATCATCAGCACCAAACAACAAGACTGAACGTGCAATCAAGAATCGTTCGAGAAGCCAATCCCCATGGCGTTTAGTTATTTGTTTATCCCACTCTCAATCACCGTCAAGAAACGACGTGCAACGGGCATGGGAGGCTGCCAGAATAGAATCCTCCCAGAGCGAGTTAGAAGTGTCTTACATTGAGGGAAGAATGACACCGATGACAGACTCGATGTCTTATCCACTTGCACTTGTTAACAAATTTTGTACCGACATTGAGAATGGTAAGACCGTCCTCAGTATTGTTATCGGGGGTGGCTCGGCCTCAAGATTCCTCATTACTGCTGCCGATTCTATCAATTTACCAGCCCTCTGGTTGCCCATGACACACAGGGACTTTTTGAGACAGGTTTGTCCCATTTGCATTAATTTCAAAATTTCAGAAAAAAAAAAACTTTGTAAAATATCAAAAATCAAAATATCTTGAATGAAGTGGAAAAATCAAGTCAACGCAAAATTCAAAGCAAAATTTTAAATGCTTCTTCAGCTTGATTGATCAAAGCAGTTGATCAATGGTGGAGGGAAGGGTATTGCATATACGGGCTTGTAAACGGAAAATTATGTTAGTGGGTGAAGAATTTTGTATCAGAATTTTTTACCCCACACGAATATGTACACGAATAGTGCAGAAAAATGATGTTAATTGCAAGTTTTGGCTCAAGAGGCTTTTCCTGCGGCACCTTTACGCCTCGTATTGATGAATTATTCCTCTTTTTTTTTTTTTTTTTTATATTCACACATATATATATATATCAAATATAATCAAAAAGAGCAAAAGCCCCCCAATTGCTCAATCAACCCTTCCACAAACTCTAGTCACTATTTTCCCCAAAATGATTGGCCGCAACCATTTGAAGAGGGAAATTGGAAAATTCCTCTTGCCAGCGGACTATAACGACGTGAAATAACCCGCAGCACTCAATAAAAACCCAATAAAAAGGGAGATATTATTCTAGGGGAAACGTGGCACCTTCGAAACCCGAGTTGGTACGAGTTCCGAGGAAGCAGGTGCAGCAGCTGGTGCGCTCATGCACAAAGCAAATTGGCATGCATTTATCCTTTTAATTGACACAACACTCCTACCAATGCATCACTTGCTACACAAAGATAGAGATGTACTGATACCACGTACTGTTGTACATCTACCAGCGACTGATACAAGTCTCAAAATAAGACTGAGAAGAATATCGGAGGAGGGTGGTACGGGAGCTGTCATCGTTATGGCTTGTGATCTTAATAATGCCAGGCGAATTCTTTCGGCAGCGAGTAAATATCACATGCTCAATGGAAGATTTCTATGGCTATGGCTTGATCTCAAAGCTGAATTGAGACCCAATGAACCGAGTCTGCTAAGTTCTCATGTTATTTATGGCTCATTGGCCTCGGGGAAGGGCGAGGTGGAGAGTATCGTTAGGCATGGCAATCTCGTGCTTGACGATGAAGCGCACACACCCTCCGTGGGTGATCCTCCACATCTGGAGTTCAGTTGGAATCGGAGAAATCAACTGAGAAAGAGGGAGGATAGAGGGTTCTCCTTCGATGATGATGACGAGGCCAGACTTGGCGATAAGAGCCTCAATTCTAAGACCTTCATGCCTGTTGGAATGTTAGCCCTCAGGCCTGCCAGTATCAAGATGTCTGGTAACGATGCCATTCTCGCAAGGATGCTCCGAGAAACCTCTCAAGCTCTTGATAGTACCTTTATCAATATGGCGAGCACCAGTAAGTTCAGGGAGGCGCAGGTCAAGGAGCTGTTCGTCCCGACGTGCTTTGAGGATAGGGCCAAAGGCGTTGATATAAAAAAAAATGTCTCCAGGACACTCACTAGGCGGCTCAGGGAGTCCATGGCACAGCTTTCTCATGATAAGGCTGAATTCCAGTTATTGAATCTTCAAGCTATTCAATTTCCAGGGAACAAGACACAGCTGAGGTAATTCTTCCACTATTTTTATTAATTAGTTTCAAGTTGTCGAATATTTTGAATCCCAAATTTTGAATCTGTTTTTAAACTGCGTGACAATTTTTATTTTATTATACATAATAAAAATATCCTCCAGTTTCGCCAAACTAGATTTTATTTGTTTTTTTTTTCTTTTTTTCAATTGCAAATTGCAAATTGAAGAAAGAAAAACATGTGCATACATAAAATGAGAATGATATACGTAGACCCCATAAAGCCGTGGAGGTAATGAATAAACCTGAAGCGCCCACTCTCTCATTTCCCCAGATGGACGAAAGTAGGAACAATTCGAGGTGGCAAAGAAGTACGTCTCGATACAATAACGTGGCCAGGAGGTGGCATAGTACCCGCCTACCTTGAGCAGGGTGGTGAGCAAATAGGAATGCCCGTCTACAAGATAGTAACAGCTCTTGCTCCACCATTCACCATGATAACAAATCTTCAGGATGGTTTATGTCTCCGTGGATTAGTCTGCAGAAAGGGGGATGTGCAGAAGTGTTGTTACGGATTCTCAATAGACCTTCTCTCCCTTGTGGCCCGTGAGCTGAGCTTTCGTTTTGATCTTTATATCGCCCAGGACGGCTTATTCGGCAAGAGAAATGGTAGAAATGGAACGTGGAATGGAATTGTCGGTGAATTAATCCACGCCAAGGCACAATTGGCGTTTGCACCCCTCAGTGTATCAGCAATAAGGGCTGAAGTTATCGACTACACCACCCCATATTTTTTTAGTGGTGTCAGTTTTTTAGCGTCACCAAAACTGAACGAAGAAATTCCACTGCTCATGTTTCTTCACCCATTCAGCACTGATCTATGGGTGACTATTTTCATTTCCCTCAATGTTACAGCGCTGGCTGTTGCTATTTACGAGTGGTTCAGCCCGTTCGGACTTAATCCTTGGGGCAGACAGAGGAGCAAAAATTTCTCCATAGCCTCAGCGCTCTGGGTCATGTGGGGATTACTTTGTGGACATTTGGTTGCTTTCAAAGCACCCAAATCATGGCCTAATAAATTTCTTATCAATATCTGGGGGGGTTTCTCGGTTATCTTCGTTGCTTCCTATACTGCTAACATCGCTGCCCTCATCGCTGGATTTTTTTTTCATCCGTCCGTCAGGAATTATCACGACAGGAGTGTGAGTAATTGTCCCATTATTATCTCCCCACAGCTAATACTAATTTCTCTGCCTGTTTTAATTGAAAAAATGCCAAGGGGAGGGGAGGGGAGGGGAGAGGAGAAAGTTTTACAATGGGTAGAAGGATTTAAATAGCGAAATTTTTGGCAGTTGCTATCGCAAAAAGTCGGAGCACCGCGTGCCTCAGTAGCTGAGTACTACGTACAACGTGCTAATCACCAATTATGGACACATATGTTACGATTTTCACTGTCGGACGTGGCTGAGGGGGTGGAACGATTGCGTAATGGCAGTTTAGACATACTCATTGCTGACACACCAATTTTGGATTACTATCGAGCCACTGACAATGGCTGCACACTCCAAAAGATCGGAGATACTATGAATGAGGACACTTATGCCGTCGCCTTGACCAAAGGCCATCCTCTTAAGGAGAGCATCTCTAAAGTTATTGCTAATTATTCTAGCAATGGAATGCTTGACGTTCTGCGTGATAAATGGTGAATATTATATTTTCTCCTATATTTTTTGGGAATAAAAATTTAATTGTAGTAAAGAATGAACAGGTATGATTTTTAAATAAAAGATGAGCAAAAAAGGAGTATCAGAATTATAGAACGAAATACTGGAATAGGTATGCAGGCCTGCCCTGCATTCGTGGCCACGAAGGCATGAAACCCGGTCTGGATGTAGCAGGCATGCAGCCCCATCCCCTCGGAGTTCGTTCAGTCGCTGGTGTCTTCTGTCTTCTTGGAGTGGGCATAATCCTCGGTGCAATAATCCTCGCCGGTGAACATCTCTTCTACAAATACACTTTGCCACGCCTACGTCACTGTCCCAAAACCTCGATATGGCGAAGCAGAAATGTCATGTTCTTCTCCCAAAAGCTATACAGATTTATCAATTGCGTTGACCTAGTATCCCCCCATCATGCGGCCAAAGAGCTCATGCACACTGTAAGGCAGGGCCAAATTGCATCATTGTTTCAGAAGAGTGTAAAAAGGGTAGGTATTTTATGAGTCATCGTGAACATTGTTCTATAGCTATTCAACTACAAGGATTCAATGTTTCAGAAGGAGCACGAACAGAGGAGAAGAAGAAAGAGTAAGGCGCAGTTCTTTGAAATGATACAGGAGATCAGGAGGTGAGACATTTCAAACTCAATATCACATTTCTACAGTACTACTAATACTCATTAATTCACTATAATCCATATGCTTTGTTTTTTATTTTCTTGTTTTTCTCCTCTTTACAATTCAATAGTTCACAGTTGAAAATTCAATATGCACTCATAACTATTTGTGATTAATTTGCCAATTAAATCTCTTGCGCCTATATAAATAAAAATTCTGTAAAGTCATAAGAACGTGAAATTGCGCGGATAGAGTACGAAATCCGATTCCATAAAAAAAAAAACCTACGAATAAAACGATAGAGCTTACTCTTCCAGAGGAAGCTCGCTTCCTCTGGTGGCATTTATTTTTAACACATTCCCTTTGATACCATGTCTAAAGACTAATTGCACATGATTCTAACTGAAATAGTGAAAAAAGAAAAACCAATGAATCTACTATTTATTCCCCATGAAAGCGGCCTTTCCACAGCTACATTGCCGTATTTATATTTCACTTGGCTGCAATCTAACTTTGGCGAATTTTTGTATTTCCAAATATTTTCCCAAAACTTGGGCAATTTTACTTTTGCCGTGGGGCCTCTGCTCCGCCCATGATACTGTTACTGTTTGCAGGGGAAGAATTGTTACGAGATCAAATAGACTTCCCGAAACAATTCTACTCCGACCGAATGAAAAGATTGTAGAAGAAAATTTAATTTTCACTCAGTGGATGCTTAACATACCCTCCCTCACTGTCTCCCTCATATGACTCCCTCCCTGCCTCTCTCTCTCTCTCTCTCTCTCGCCCCCCCCC